AAGCTCACCTCTGACCCCGTGCAACTTTACCTCCTGTATCAACCTGCCATGAGGGACCTTGTCAAAGGCCTTACTGAAGTCCATATAGACATCCACTGCCCTACCCTCATCGATCATCTTTGTCACTTCCTCAAAAAACTCAACCAAGTTAGTGAGACATGACCTCACCTTCACAAACCATGTTGCCTCTCGCTAATACGCCCACTGATTTCCAAGTGGGAGTAAATCCTGTCTCGAAGAATCGTCTCCAACAATTTCCCTACCAGCCTGTAATTAGCTGGATTATCCCTGTCACCTTTCTTAAACAAAGGAACAACATTGGCTATTCTCCAATCCTCTGGGACCTCCCCTGTAGCCAGTGAGGGTACAAAGATTTCCCTCAAGGCCCCAGCAATTTCCTCCGTTACGTCTCTCAATATTCTGTGGTATATCCCATCAGGCCCTGGGGATTTGTCTACCTTAATGTTTTTGAACACCCCCAATACCAGCTCCCTTTTGATCTCAACAGGACCCAAACTATTTACACATCCTTCTCCAGACTCATCATCCACCAAATCTGGCTCCATGGCGAATACTAACGCAAAGTACTCATTTAATACCTCACCCATTTCCTCTGGCTCCACACATAAATTCCCTTCCCTGTCCTTGAGTGGACCAACCCTCTGTCTGGCTACCCTCTTACTCTTCATATATGTATAAAAAGCCTTGGGATTTTCCTTAATCCTGGTGGCAAATGACTTTTCATGACCCCTTTTAGCCCTTGCTTAAGTTTCTTTCAACTTTCCTTGTATTCCACCCTTGCTTCGTGTGTTCCAGACTCCTAGCCCTGATAAATGCTTCCTTTTTCTTTTTGATTAGGCTCACAATGTCTCTCATTATCCAAGGTTCCCTAAACTTGCCATACTTATCCTTCACCCTTACAGGAACGTGCCAGTCCTGAGTTCCCAGCAACTTACACTTGAAAGCCTCCCCCATACCATATGTTGATTTGTCCTCAAACATCTCCCTCAAATCTACATCCTTCAGTTCCTGCCTAATATTGTTGTAATTAGCCTTCCCCCAGTTTAGCACCTTCACCTGAAAGCTACACTATCGACATACTGTTTCAAAAAGCCCTCCTGGATGCTCCTTACAAACTCTGCCCCATCCGAGCCCCAAGCACTGAGTGAGTCCCAGTCAATATATGGGAAGTTAAAATCACCTACAACAACAACCCTGTTACTTTTACATCTTGCCGAAATCTGCCTACATATCTGTTCTTCTATCTCCCGCTGGCTGTTGGGAGGCCTATAGTAAACCCCAAACATTGTGATTGCACCCTTCCTGCTCCTGAGCTCTATCCATATTGCCTCACTGTATGAGCCATCTGAGGTGTCCTCAGGCCGTACAGCTATGATATTCTGCTTAACAAGTAGTGCAACTCCCCCAGCCCTTTTACATATCCCTCTATCCCGCCTGAAACATCTGTATCCTGGAATGTTAAGCTGCCAATCCTGTCCCTCCTTAACCACGTCTCTGTAATAGCAACAACATCATAGTTCCAAGTACTAATCCAAGCTCTAAATTCATCTGCCTTACCGATTACATTTCTCACAGTGAAACAGATGCTCTTCAGTCCACCACACCCACTTTGATCAGCAACTACACCCTGCCTGCTCTTCCTCTGCCCTATTCTCTAGTTCCCTTTCAGTCTATTCACTTTTGCATTGGTTTCCACCCTCATGACAAGCTAGTTTAAGTCCTCCCGAGTGACACCAGCAAACCTCCCAGCCAGAATATTTGTGCCCCTCCAGTTCAGATTCAACCCGTCCTTCTTGTGCAGGTCCCACCTGCCCTGGAAGAGATCCCAATGGCCCAGATACCTGAAACCCCCCCTCCTACACCATCTGTTTAGCCACGTGTTGAGCTGTACTATCTTCCTATTTTTAGCCTCACTGGTGCGTCGCACAGGGAGTAATCCTGAGATTACAACCTTGGAGGTCCTGCTCTTTAACTTTCTACCTAACTCCCTGAACTACTGCTACAGGACCTCATCATTCATCCTACCTATGTCATTAGTACCAATATGTACCACAACCTCTGGCTGTTCACCCTCTCCCTTCAGAATGCCTTCTGCCCCATTCAGAGACATCCTGGACCCTGGCACCAGGGAGGCAACACACCATCCTGGAGTCTCTTTTACGTCCACAGAAGCACCTATCTGTACCCCTAACTATAGAGTCCCCTATAACTACTGCTCTAGTGTTCTTTATCCTTCCCTTCTGAGGAACAGAGCCAGCTGTGGTGCCACCAGTCTGGCTGCTGCTGCTGTTACCCCCTGATAGGTCATTCCCCCGCCATAGTATCCAACAGCATACTTCTTAGAGAGGGGGACAACCACAGGGGATTCCTAAACTGGCTGCCAGCCCCTTCTAGCGGCCACCCATCTATCTGCCTGTGACTTAGAAGTCTCCACATCTCTAAAACTCCTGTCTATGACACTTCCGCCACCCTCATGCTCCTAGTTGCATCCAATTTCCGCTCCAACCTATCCGGTCTGAGAGGAGCTGCAATTGGGTGCACTTCCAGCAGATGTAGTCACCCGAGGCCCTGGAAGCTTCGCGGATCCCCAACATCTAACAAATGCAGCACTTAACCCCACTGACTGACATTTCTATCACCATACAAGCTGTTTAAGAAAATTTATTAAACACTTCCCCTTACTTATCACTGCAAATACCCAAGGTAGGCCTTCCCTCACTCACCTTCCCAGGATGCTCCCTGGATCTCCCCCTTTCCCTTTGCTTCTGGCCCTCACAGTGGACATTTGCCAGAAGTTAGAATTAGTAAGTATGACTGTGTCAGCTAGTGGCTTGCTTTAGTTGCTTGATGTACCTGGCATGGATGACAGTGACATGTTTACAGGATTAGGTATTTGTTTCTTTAAAATAATGTAGTCTGTTTAAGCTCTGGTTTGGATTCCAACATGCAACTAAAGGCATTGAGGCACCCTCACACCTAGCACAGATCAGGGAATTGGTCAGTGAAAGATAACCTTGAGTGTTTCCAAGGCAGCACCTCATTCGGCCAACAGATAGATACTGAAAGTTATGCATCATGCTGCAGTCACCATGATCCTGATCTCTGGGGATGTGAGGCTGAATTCCAGAATCTGGGAGAGCATCCCCACTTAGCTGAGCTTCACAAAAAGCAAGAGGGTTTAATTAGTCTCTCCCTTATACTCTGAAATGCAGAATTGACTCAACTAGTTACCCTGTCTCACTTATGAAGAAACTCTGTATCACTAAATAGTTTGTTGTATATAAATCATATTGGAAAAGTACACAACACCACTGTGTGTTGTAGTAACTGTCAGTCATAACCTCAGCTCATCCAACAGCCCAATAACCACATGATCGGAAATGAGGCACATAATAGGTGCACAATAACAAATTTAGATGTTCTTTTTGTTGGATGTTTATATCATTTAACCACTACCCCTTCAACTTCTGCAGCCTCATTACTTTAAGAGCTGACACACTCTACTTGTGTGTATTAGTCCATGTCTTTCAATATCTGCTTACACAGCAGGAATAAAGAAACAACATCCGAGCTTTAAGTCACAAAAACTCTTAATTTACTTGAAGTCATGAAGGCATCTTGTAGTAATGTTTAGAATAAATTAACTGATCAGAGATAATTTTCATCTGATATTTAATTAAGTTCATTAAGCATTGTTGCTCACAAAACTGCTTAAGGAGAGCGGGATGGCTGGGACTACATTCTATCTCCATTGTTCCCTGTATCTACTGCTCTCTAGTGTCCATATCCCTTCTAGTGCAAACAGCATTGTTTGCATGTCGGTTAGCAATTCTATTTTGCACTCTCCATTACCCGAACCAAGTAGCTGTTTTCCATGTTGGAGTATTGTTATTTACTGTAAGCATGTGATGTATTATGGTGAGGCAGGCTCCTGTTTTTATCTAACATCTCATCACTTGTATTTTTTTTGCAGGCATTTTGTATGACCTGGGCTGGTTGCATATTTTTGAAACGAGTGTCCAAGCATTTCAATTTTTAACGCACACACTCTGCCTAGTACACCACTGTAGTAGTTCTCTATGTGTTCACTAGTTGTGTATTGCTTTCATTCCCCACTGTCTTCGATGAAGAATGTCCTGTGTCTCAGAATGGTTAGACAATTGGCTTCTGGGCAAAATCATTGCCTTTCAAGCAGAAGTTGCACTGGAGACGGTAGCTGTTCTACATTGGTAATGCATAAAAATGCAGCAATGCAATGTGAAGCTGTTGTTTAGTTGCTCAACGTTTTATGATCAGTGATTTGGAACTAAATAACCAATGTTCATCTAGATTGTTTGAGTGTGGATAGTGGACTGATGATGTGATATGGGTCATTCCCCATTTAGTACACATATCTTCCAATGGTTTGACAGTGAACAGCAATTGTTTGTCCATTGTCAGATTGTTATGGGTCACTAAATAACCTGAAAGTAGTACTTACTGTGTCACAGATGATTGCATTTGTGTTGCTAAGTCATTGAACTATAGACAATTTGGAGAAGTAGTCTGTCACAAGGATGGAATCCTCCCTGTGCACTTTGAATATATCTGTTGCTACCTTTACCCAATGAGTGGATAGAATCTGAAGTGAATGCAGCAGCTATCTCCGCTGCTGTGTTTGATATGTTTAACATGCCTCACATGCATTCATGAGTTGTTGGGTATCCTGATTCATCCCTTGCCAATACACAGGTACAGTTGCTAGGCATCTTGTGCTTTCAATGTACATTTGACTGTGGGATAACATAGATTTGAGCTCCAGGCATAATGCTTTTGATATTTATTATTCATTTGTTCTTGAAAATGACTTGTTGTGAAAAGTCAAGTTTGTCTCGGTACAGCCAAATTGACAAAATCATTCTCAGGCACTTCCTTAATACTATCAGGCCGTCCATCAAAAGTGGTCTTTTGCAACACCCATAGTTGCTTGTCTTTAGCAGTTACCGATTGCAACTGTTCACAGTGGCTCTGGCCAAGTTTGAACCAATCAACTTTGAGAAGGTCTTCGACGTCAATATCTCTAGCACAACTTCTGCTTGAAAGGCAACTGCAAATACCTTACCCAGACGTTCTACTACAGCTGGACTATTGGTATCTATCTGGTAGAAGATTTTGGAAAGCCAAGATTATCTTGTGTATTGGCACTGCAGTGTGATTCTACCAATCAATGGAATTGGCAATCTGTTATATGCTGTGACAAAGTTTCTTGAAGGCTGTACCATGGACTACCACTTGCTGAGGTACATATCTTTCAAGAAGTAGCCATATGTTGGAACTAGCTCCCATGTGGATTTTAACTATTGGGTATGCCATCCTGCCTTTTCAGGGCAAGTATCAATAAGTGCTGTAAAAACTTCTGATCATTTTATGGTGAATGAGGTTTAAGATTTGGAATGTTAGGCCGTCTTCTGAAATTTGTCCTTTGCTTGGTTAACTGTGAACTTCACTGCCATGTTTGTATTTTGTGCAATTTCTGAACACATTTCCCTTGCTGTCAGTGTTGTGGTGTTATATTGTCTAGTTTGTTCTCCTGTGATTTGTGGCTTGGCCTTTGGATTTCCTGTAGAGATGGAAAATGGCCCTTCATTCTGCCATGTGCTTTACAGAGATAAAGAAAAGCTGGACAGCATTTGGGTCAGTGCAAGAAACCACACCTTTTACAGTGCTTTGTTGGTTTGGTGTGCTGAGCTGACCATAGCAATAGTGTTGGCAGCACGTAATGCGTGCAATTGTTGTTGGCCTGTCACAATACGTTTGTCTACCCTCAAGTACTGATCAACGGTATGCCTCTTTCTTTTGCCCCAAAGATCCTTCTCAATGGCTTAAATTGATATAGAAGTGATGCAGAGGTCGTATCCCTAACTCTGAGCCAAGACATCTGGATTCAATTCTCACCTGCTCCAGAGATATGTAATAGCATCTCTGAACAGATTGATTAGAAAAGTAGGTTAAATTTTTTTAAACAGTCCTTCTTTGGAAAAGTCACACACTTTCCCTTTGCCATGGCATCTGCTGAAAAACTGGTTAACGAACCCTTGGGGTTGCTATCTGTATGACATGAGACAGGATCTATTAATCCTGCGGTTAATTCTTACCTTGAACTGATCTTTGAGTACTTTTCAGATCTCTCCTGGATCTTTCCTTCTGCAAAGCATTTCTTTTCCAATGGCAAGCAAGATTTTCAGAGCTCTTTTCTTGAGATTATTTATTGTTTGATGAATGAAATGAAACAGTATGCCTTATTCATACAGTTGCAGTTCAGCAAAGGGTATTATTGACTGCCCAATCTATAATTAAGGGCTTTCCTTCTGTTTCTTTTAGAAGGTATTTGACACTTTTTAAGAAGTAGAGTGAAGTGCAGTGTTTATTATTTCTATTACTGGTTTTATTTCCCTTTCTTTTCACTTTTCCCTTTCCTGCTTCTGTTCCCCTTTATTTTCCAGTTTTACTGCTCTTATCCTGGCCTTACTCCCCTTAAAATTGTTTTTTCAAGAAATGGAAACCCTAACTCTATCGCAAGTTTCAGCCACTAGATGATGATCATGGCAGACAAAAAATTATGACATCACTGTGTTTACCTCTACTTTTGCGCTGACTTGGAAAATGTAAACAGCATGTTCAACCAACCGTTGCAGACAGGTAAGCTTGGTTAATGAAGAGAACCTTTGTTTAATATTTTTTAGCTGTATTTTCTTTCAGGAGAGCTTTGTACCTGTGCAGTGAGAAGCATTTGTCTGTGATTTTTCTTAAAATTGGAAGCCAGAAAATTACTTTTAAAAAGAATGACAGGGATCAAGACATATAGTTTTTACTGCCCCAGTACTGGACTATAACATTTAGCCTTGCTTGCATTTTTAGGTAAGGCACAGTTAAAAGTTTCTTCCAAACTGAAAAAGACTTCAAGCTAATTGCTTACTGATTAAAATCTATCATTTTGTTATTCAATATCTTTCTCCAGCTCTGTACTTACATGCTGATACTGCTGATTGACTGAATTCTTTGATGTCCAGGGTTGTTAACTAATTGTTCTTCAATTAAGTTTGCAAGTATCTGCCACCGAGATCTTGGACTCTTTTTATAGACATCTAAGCATGATGTAGGTTTGCCTCTGGGAGTGTATCTTTAACCTGATGCAGCAATGCTTCAATTATCCCCATAACACTTTTAAAAAAGGACATAGATAATATGGTAATAAAAGAGCCAGCAGATGTTTATTCCTGCTCACTGATAAATACAAATTAACAGGCACTTCAGAACCTGGGCTAACATGAAGCTATTTGGTTATGTAGCATGTTTCCAACAGTGTGTCATGCTTCAGATGGCCCCAATTAAGAAGGAGTCTGAGCCCTTTATACCACCAGGTTACATGCTATAATACAGTGATGATATTATGTGACAGTCTGACAAAATTATACTGATATACTGTGTTTCCTAAAAGTATATTGATATACTAACTGAGATATAACACAATGTCAACTTCAGTGAGGTGCGATGTATGAGGCAGCTTCACTTCACCAAAAGAGATTGCATCCTTATTCTTGGAACCACGTTCCAGTAATTAATTTTAGATGCTATTTGTTCCCTCTGCCTCCTGAGCATCTGATTGGAAGGAATCCTGTTCCTCTGCGCACAAAATCTTTGTTTCTCTCCAAATATTGCACCAAGACCTCCAGTACATTGTTAGAAAGTCTTCATGTGTGTTTTCTTACTGGTTCAGCCGTTCTCCAAAGTATCACAGCATAGATTCAAGCTTCAAAGATTCCCACTATTGATTACAGCCGCAATGCAGTTTACATATAAAAGATACAGAGAGCCACTATTAACACCAGACATTTGCAAAATGGCGTCATTTGCCAATGTGTATAACACAATGCATAACACAAGTAATACAAACTGGGTAGCAACAATTAAAACAGCACCAATTTAATTTGTTACAATGAATAGTACAGTTTAGTCTGGCATAGCAGCTCCATGTTCATTTTTAGAGTCATCCAATTTCCCTCCCATGGACAGGAATGGATTGGGAGGCTGAAAGGCAGAGAGATATGTTTGAAAGAAAAAGAGCTGGAGTTAGAGGAAGAAATGAAGGTAAAATAGAGAGAAAGATAGACAAAGATTAAAACATGGAGATAAAGGGAATACAGGGACAAAGGCATGCATAGAAAGAGAGAGAAACCAACAAAACGGAGGCATAGAGAGAAGTGATTAAAGAGTTAGAGATGGAGATAATGGTGAGACAGAGAGAGAACACATAAAGAAATGACAAGAAACAGTGTGAGTTTACATGTTCATGACAGCCAGGCAGATGAACATTTAAGCAGACAGATGTGGACGAAGGAGGGAGTGATTGCAGATCATTGCCCTGGGGAGAATTGTGAACAGTGTCTGAAATGCTCTAGTCATTATGTAGCATCGTGTGAGGATAATAAGGAAAGCAGAAAGGGAGAAAATTGGCTTAAGAGTGAAGTAACTCTTTGAAAGAAATGTAAATAAATTGTTAATTACTGCACCAAAACATCTCTCTGCTTCAGAGATACTATAAAGAATATGAAACTTTAGAATAATAATTGCATGCTTCAGTCTCCTGGTAGGATTCCTGGTGGCTTTCATGTTCCCCTTGGATTTCAACAGAAGTAACCCACAGGCATTCCTTGAAGTACTGAAATTTGCAGAATATTGAGGGAAAAGGTGAGATATGAGGCTGACCTATCATCTGTGGGGTTAAAATCTGAATGGATTGAAGGTTAACAGTTGAGTTTAATTGAAATAGCAGCCCCTGCCCTTTTTGCCTCATCTGAAATCATGGCATAATGTAAGAGGTATAATACTATAGCAGGAGATACTGGGAGAAGGACTTGGTACGTGGAATAAATGGAAATTGTATCAAGACATCCTGTGTTCTTAGCTCGCTTGCTCACGGCAGAGTTTACAGTAACTTTGGACAAAAGTAAGAGGGCTATTCCCATAAGCAGTCAGAGTGTTGCAAGCTCAATACACTCTGTTACAGGGCCCAGAAACCCATCAGACAGAATAGTTTCTTACTTAATGCAAGCTCACGTCAGAGAAAGCTGCACTGAATTCTTAATAAGAGTTCAAAGGCCCTTGTCAGGAACCCTAGGAGACTTTGCTGTAGCCTTTATGCACAGGGTAGTTAAAGTTTTTTTTTCTGGTTAGTCCATGCATTCTATTTAATATCAGAGAGGCTGTGAGACCAAAACTGAACAGTTGTTTCCATAGTGATGGGCCAGATCTGCTTGCTCGATGATATTGAAATGATTTTTTTTCACAAAATACTCAATTATGCGTGTTGTGGTAATAAGAACTATTGCATTCTACCATGGTAGGGTTAGAAAAAAATCTCAATACTAAGATAGTTTTATAGTATGTGTGTGGACATAGAGTTGTGTAATAATATTGTGTATATATATTAATGTGCACATTTTTATATATGTGTGTTTGTCCTTGTAGATGTGCTTATTTATCTTTGTGTATATTTATTTTTGTGTAAGTGTGTGTATCTCTGTATGGATAGATGCCAGTCTGCATGTATATATATGTCCTTGCATGTATATATTTGCGGCTGCGTCGATAAGCACTTGCCTTTGCATGTATATGCATGTGTACAGGTATGGAGGAGTGCATGAGGGATAATAACTCTCAGCTTGTCAGCTCCGTTGAAGAAATGTCAAACGTTGTATCATAGACTAACACTGTTTAAAAACTACACTTACTCCTGGTTAACTAAAAGGTCAAAGAAACATTGACAGAAAAGCATTAAAAAAGCGTAACACTTGAATGATTCAAATCCCAATTGTTCTTTTATCCCTGCTTAGTGATGGGTCAAGAGGGACTTTGGAATCGAATGACACTTTTCTACTGTTTCAGTCTCTGTGCAGATAAAGTTTGCAGAATTCAGCTTCAATCTTTCTAGGACTTTCTTAGTTCAGTACAGATCCTTTCCATTTTGCCCTGTGTAAAGGTTACAGCCTCCTGAAAATAATACTGAGGACCTTGAAAGAGACTAAAACCTTGTTGAGAAACAAGGCAGCTTTCACAAATAAAGTCCAGAACTTTCTATTCTGCCTTTTTAAATGTATTCCTTAACTTTGACCCCTCACCATCTTTACTCCATAATCTATCTGATGGCAGTCAAAATGCAAGAATCCTGGGAAAACCCTACTTTGTTTTTTTTTGCTAATTAACAGTTCACTGACTCAAAGGCTATGATTGACCATACTTTTTGCTTAATTCTATTGTTACATTTATTCTATATTATTCCTGTATTGATTGCTCTCTGGGTAAGAAGTGTTTGACAGGTTACAAGATGGGAAATTGTAATTTAAGCCTTTACTGACAAACTATCTTATTGGCCTGGAATGTGGAAAAGAGGTCAGAAATCAAAACCACTTCAGCAGAAATCATGAGAAATGTGAGCGTGCTGTGTAAACGTACCTCAAGCACAGAATGTTAAAGTGAGACAATAGCTTAGCACCAAGGGCACTATTTGACAAGATAGGGCTGCTCGTGTCACCCCTCTGCACTTGTTTTCTGTCACACAATCAAGCAGCAGGGTACTTTAGGGGCCCTGTTGTGGCTCAATGGTAGTGTCCCTACCCCCAGACCTTGAGGCCCGGGATCAAGTCCCACCTGCTCCAGAAGTATGTAATAACGTCTCTGAACAGGTTGATTAGAAAGAATAGGTTTGAACGAATATTATCCCCAGAACGTGTATGAGCTAATAGTTCGACACGTGGGAAAAAAGGGTTTGATATCATGTTGTGTAAACCCAATTTGCTGAAGTTTGCCATCAGTAGTGATGAGGACGTAAAGATTTGGCCAAAATGCATCACCTCCAACACTTCTGGTTGAAGATGATTGCAAATGTTTCAGCCTTGTCTCTTACAGAGATGGGTTTGAGGATGGACAGATTTGTCTTGTACCTGGGTGAACAGATGATACTTGACATTGTTTGTTATCGGACCATGCAAATAGATCATAGAATCATAGAATCCCTATAGTGTGAAAACAGGCCCTTCAGCCCAACAAATCCACACTGACCCTTGGAGCATCCCACTCAGACCCATCCCCTATAACCCACACTTCCCTGAACACTATGGGCAATTTAGCATGGCCAATCCACCTAACCTGCACATCTTTGGACTGTGGGAAGAAACCGGAGCACCGGGAGGAAACCCACACAGACACGGGGAGAATGTGCAAACTCCATAAGGTAATGATTGGTTTCAATCACATCCTGTGACTTTTGCTGTGAAAAGAAAGTTCAAGAAGGAATCCTGTGAGAGGAGGGCTAGACCAAAATGAGGGGAAGGGAGGGGTAACCAACCAGAGGAGATTCAGGCCAATCCTGTTGACAGAGATACCTCACAGCTGGGTAGAATTGGTAGAGGCCTTCCATAAATATATTGCTTTTACTGGTGCGATCAGTGAGTGATTACATGGAGAGAAAGTTTCAAGCATCAGCACATGGCAAGAATTGCCAATAATAAATAAAGAATAATCACTGTCACCAATAAGGAACATCACTTTGAATCATTTTGGAACATGAGATTTAAAGGATTAATTGACTCCTGTACCTTGAATTTTAACAAAAGTTCAATTCTAAGTCCCATTGAAAACACAGCAACCATTGTATTGGTGATA